AATTTCCATTTTTGTTTGATTGATTTCATTGTTCTAGATAGGTACCCAGTGGAATCTTTTAATCTGGAAACTGGCATGTCCTCTGGCTCCAAGAAATAGTTTTTCATAATTCCCCTGTCCATTTTGTATCTATTTTCCTAATTTCCATCTTTCTGCCATAACTGTTCTATTGCCTTGAAGATTTCCTCAACCTTGTCTTCTAACTTTTCTACTGAAGTTTATTCTCCTTTTCACTATAAATTTCTGATCATATTTTTTAGTTTGAATTCTTTTTCTTTTAAAGAATGCTTTTAAAAATAACATTCTATTCTAATTTAATGGCCCCCTTACCTTCTCCTACATTTCTGAAGATATTGATTATACGTGTCTTATAGTCTTCTCTTCCTCTGAGCACTGTCTATTTCTCCAAGTGCCTTTTTCCATTTGATTTTCTCATGTCTTTGTCTTTCATGTTGGAGATATTCTTTGAATGTCTGATGGTCCTTAGCTATTCATTCATATTTAACTGTGGGTCCCCAAAAAGCCTACTGGGAGATTCATAAGAGGCAGGAACCTTCTCTGTGGGGTGATCAGGTAAGGAAACAAGATGTGCTGGGAAACCCCCAAACATCAGTATATGCAGGTACTTTCTCTTGGGCTAGGGACTGGGGTCCAAGGGTGGGTGGGTTCTAAACCTGACAACCAAGAACTCTAAGGCATTCTCAGGGTCTTAGCAGGTCCTGTGTCTCCCCAAGGTGCCTGGTTCCCATTTTCAGCTATGGCTAGCACTCTCAGTCCCAGCCCCCTCTGGTTCACTCTTTCTTTATAGAGGACTCCTATCTTCTTCCCAGAGGCGGAGAAGGCATCCGGAAGCCTAATATCTCCTGGGACAGCCTTTCAAACCATCCTCTTATTCTTTTTCAGCCATCCCCCCATACTCCTGCCATCTGAGGTATCTGGGGTCTCAAATTCCTGAGCCTCTCTGGAGCAGTCTACAGCACAAATCCTCACAAACATTTGTTAAACAGAAACCTCATCAGTGTATTAGGCTCAAATAGGCTATTCTGTGATAACAAAGCACCCCCAAATCCCTGCGGCTTAAAATGACAAAGGTTGAGTCTTCTCTCACAGTACAGATCACCATGGTCACACGGGCCCTGCGGACACGAGCACGACCATCTTGTGACACCAGCATTTTACCTTGAGGCTCCAAGCCTTGTTGGGGCTGGGGAGGGAAGGAGAAATGGAAATATGTGGGAGTATTAACACCTCTACCACAGTCAGTCAATTCCCCACTTCCCCTCTACCATAGTCAGTCAATTTTGTTCTCATCTGCTCCTGTTTCCTCTCTCAGTTTTTGTGCTTTTTATTATCTTACTGCCATTTTAGTGTAGTTCTGGGTGGGAGGAGAAATAAACACCATTTCAAGTGGCACAACACACCCAAGTAGCCCAAACCCTCCAATTTACACTGGGTGCTTCCTAACATCAATCTTCCCAATTCTACTGTGCTTCTGTTCTCTACTCACAATGATTTTGTTGTCTAAAGAGAGATCAGTAGGCTGTGAAAACTTTTCAAAACTGGTCATTCATTATCAATATTTTTCAAGAAGGGGGTTGGAAAGTAGTTCTCAAACATATACCTGGAAAAGAGAAACTCCCCACTAGAAGCAAAGCACACGGAAGTGTTTTTTCAAATTTCAGAAAACAATGCTCTTCACTCAATGCTCTCACTCATGTCTAATATGTGTTCAATAAATTCTTGCGGATTAGCAATCCTATTTCCTCGTTCTGTACAACTCACCAGCGAACAAATATCAGTTTGCTCCAAGTGAAAAATGCTGAAGTTCTGAGAGAATAAAAAGCAAATGTAACTATCAGCAATTATCTCTGGCCAGTGGAAATACAGGTTTTTAAAATTTCCTTTTCTTTGCTTCCTGTACTTTCTGATCTTGCCATTTTAGGAATACCGTGCTTTTGTAATAGGAATTTCAGGGCCACTTACCCAGGTCTGCTGACCATAATTATAGTGGGACAACCCCTTTTGTTAAAACTGTATCTGTGCTAATAACAGATTTAGTTAAGTCTCAAATCCATTGCCCTTACATGGGGGAAATGCCCAGATAAAACAATTTTTCGTTTAAATCAGTGGTTCTCAACCTTTCACATGTTTAAGAATCTCAGGAATAATTTACAAGACACAGTAAGACAAAACAAGACAAAAAACAAAACAGATCACTGGACCCCATCTCAGGTACTCTGTTTTGGAAAGAAAGGGCAGTAACTTGCATTTTTAATAAGTGCCTCCCAGACAGACTTCAGACCACAGTGCTTTTTAACAGCACCTTTCCATTTTCTATAACAGCATCCACAGAATGACTGTTCAGTAAATACTTTTTGAAGCTGAGGTGAAAATCAACAGAAAAAAATATGTGTGTGTTACACATGCACACATATGAAGGTATGTGGAAAAAAGTTTGTGGAAAAATGGAATTAAAAGATAACAGGAATCTTTCCATGAACTTTTTGAAGTACCCTCGTATATAATTCCCCCTTCGCATAAAACCATCAAAAGAGTAGCAAATAAAGTCTTTCCTGTAAATACGGCATGACAGATGAAATACACCCCACAAATTCAAATAGCTTAAAAATGACTGGTGGAATATTTTAAGGCACAGGTTTTTGATTTTGCTTCATATTAACTATTGATAACGCAGTAAGCCCACAGGATCAAGGTGAATTTCTGACAATGTGGGGTTCCTAAGGCATCATTCAATATTCCATAATTAATTCTACCTTTTGGACAAAACGTCATACAAGAGGGTTAAGCTGTCCTCCTAGTTAAAGTGAATAAAAGCCAGTCCCTGGCCCTACCGTAGGCTGTGCTCAGGGCTCGTCATGAGGCTGCAGGGGCAACATGGCTAAGCAGGTCATTTCAAGGAGCTGGTGCACCAGAGGAAGCTGAAGGAAGAGGCCAGCATCTGCAGCTTTTTCTGATGGCTTTCCAAGTTTCTAAAGGATGTAGAACCTGGCCTCAAGCCAGCTCTCTACTTTTGAATACCTATTCAATTTCCACCTCATTTGCAAAACGCTTACTGCCGTCCTCCTAGCTGGGAGGAACCTGGAGACAGCTGGAGGTCAAGGAGAATTCTACATGTGAGCATACCTGTTTTAACTGAATCAGAATTCTAGAAAACAGAGAGATACAGTGCATGTCTGAACTACTGACCCAATGCTGCCCCCTTGCTGGGGAGAATGCACCTCCTGATGGTTTCCAACCTTTCCTTAAAGCTGCTAGCAATTTAATCAGCTAACAACAAATGTTGACTGTTACTAAAAGAGGAAGCGACTGACCTCTCTGACCTGCATAGCCCTTTAAGTATAAGTAAAATGAACAAACAGCTTACAATGATGGCTTCTCACGCCACAAGATATGTGCTGAGTGAGAAATAGCCTGGTGCAATCGTAAAACGCAGAATTAAATGAAACTGAATTTAACCTTTCGACCCTTCTCTTACTCCAAGATCCATTTTCAAATGAAATTGCTTAAAAATTATTCAAAAGAATGGAAAAGTGAATCAGAGCAGAAAAGAGAATCTTTACAGCAAGATAGGTTGGACAAAGGTTAGTCCTCTTGATTTATTTTGAATAGACTATGACACCTAATCTTGCCGTGTTATCAAATTTCGTAGGTATTTCAAAAATGGGAAAAAAAAATGTTGACGGGCAACAATAGCTTCGTGTACCTCTTCAAAATGAATCACAATTTGGTTTAAAACCAAAAGCAGGTCTTTTGTGAAGTGGGAAGGATGCCCTGCTACCACCAGAAGTAAAATTAAGCACTTATTGAAACCCACAATGAGTCACAGGGTGGGTGAAAAAAACTGCAGAAACTCCTGGCAAGAAAGGGCTCAGTAGGATTTCCTTGATTTCCTCCAAAGAGGCCACACCGCCTGTCCCAAATTTTTAAGGGATTGCTTTAAAGCAGTTCTCATACTGTGGTCCTGACAACCAGCCGTTATCACCTGGGAACTTTGTTAGCGACAACACTGAACTTTACCTGAGCCCTGCAATCCTGGAAAACAGGGAAGGTTAAGAAGCCCCCGCATCCTTTTGTGTTCTTGGAAGTGGCTTACTGCAAAGAGCCACCCTTCCCCTATGACTCAGAACATACTCACCGATGCCCTCTTGCTTACCAATGACAAGGACAGATACAGACCCTCCAAAATCCCACTTTTCGCTTCATAAATGATTAGCTTAACTGCTGATTGATCAGAACACAATGCTTGTTAACCAGACTGGTTAAGCATCTCTCCTTTCCCCAGGTGCCTGAACTTTGGCCAGCACACAACCCTTCATGAAAACAGGCTGGTCTCAGGTGACAACATTCTCTCATCTACAACGCGTTCAAGGCCCCTTTTGAACCCCTTTCTCCACACCCTGTTCTTTCCAGCCTTGGTTACTCCACCCTATAAAAGAAAACACCTTTGTGCTTAACTCTAGAGACGCCTGCAGATCTTACAGTCAGAGGTTCCCTACAACAGGCCCCCTCCACCTGATGGAATACTACCCTTCTGTCCTTTGTAATAATCGTTTTCAATAAACTCTCTCCATCAATCTGGACTTGTTCTTATTTTGACGTTAGAAATATAAATTATTAGGCCCCACCCCAGACCTTCTGAACCAGAAAACGGTGGCGGGGGGTGGGGAGAGGAGGACAGACAGTGAGCCCAGGAACCATTTCTCAGCCGTCCTCCAGGTACGGTCTGGGAACCAGCGATTCACAGGGTCCCACCAAGAGTCTAAGTGCATTCAACACTCAACTCTCTCCAGCTGCTGTTTCACTCAGTGGAAACTTAGGTGCAAGCTCTTTCCTGAAGCTTAGCGTGGAGAGGTTCTTCGCGCCCCCACAGACCATTTATCCCATAAAGTCATTTCCCCACGACACACAGGCCACAGAGAGCCCGTGTGCCCTCCCGGCCGCAAGTGGAGCTGAGCAAGCCCGAACCCGCACAGACTTACATCTCCGTCCACCGGCCTCTGGTCCTCACAGTCCCTGGTGGGGCTGATGTCCTGGCGCATGACCCAGATGGGCTCTTTGGGCTCGTCGGGAGTGTAAGGCGAACGAATGGTCCTGGTTTTCACTTCCTCGATGGCCTCCTTGATGTCCTTGATGGCCAGCGAGATGGCATCCCTCTTCTCCTTGCTGTACCGCTGCCCCGCCTCGCCGCCGCCCGCGGGGTCCGCCGCCCGCTGCTG